ACAGGGTGGTGGAAGCATGGGGATGGTTTTCTTCAGTAAAATAAAATGTTGTTTAAAGACGCTCTTGCTTGAACTATTTTACAAAGAATGAGCATCGAAATCTTGTCTTTTGGATAATCTAGAGCAAAACGCAGCTGTAGAAAAAATTGGTTCTACAATGTACAAAGCAAACTTTTTAGATTCACCGTTGCAAGTCTTTCTAACAGAACAAACAATAAAAAAATATTCAATTTCACCATTAAAAACGGGTTTGTACAGTTTTATTTCATCAAAACTCAATAAAAAGGCTTAAATATTTGGTTGTCATTTCACTAATTTGTTTTTTTGGGATTCTCTGAAATAAAAAGAACGATTATTTGATTAATTAATTCATTCATTCACTCGTTCATTCGTTTGTTCATTCATTCATATACAGATTTAAGAAAATATCTACTTTTCATTATCTAAAGAGTAATTTTTAGAGCAATGCCTGAGAACAATGTAAACAGAAACCTGTCAAACAATGGCCTACACCACGTATCTGCAAACTGTTCAATTCAAAGTGCTTCTATACTCCCTGTATAGCTACATAACACTCAGAAAGAGCCATGTTACATGACCTTTAGGAAGAAAGGTGATAATTTTAAACTAATGTCAATATTCTGGTTTTATAATATAGAAAAACTTGTACTGGATATTGATATTTGTGGAGAATGATGATGCTGTGCAAATGCAATCCAATATTTCCATGAACCAAAACTGTAAAGCTGCTAAACCCTACAGGTTGCGGAGGCCTGGCAATCCTTGCATTCACAGCGACACAAATCTATAAGATAGCTAATAATGGGAGGAATACAAAGTTCCCTTACATACATTGCTTGCGGCGCCCGCAGAAGTGTTGCCGCTGCAACTTTCCGTGTTGGTAGTCGTGGTGTCTCTGGGGCCGATGCTGATGGTAGAGGTAGGGATTCTGAGATGGAGAGGAACTTGCTGGGTTGCTGAATCTTCCATGAACGATGTGCTCTGCTGAGCGCTTGTAGACCACATGCGGGTGATGACCATCGGGGCTGCTGTAGTTGTGCCGGCTGGCCAGGTGTTGAGGTAGCGGAGCGATCAGATACTCCTCATTGGAAACACGGATCAGACCCGCCTGGAAAACAAACATGGGTTCACAATTAGTCTAATTTCAGGATTAATCATTAAATTCTGTTCTGTTGATTCTAAAAATGGAAGTTTCTTAATCTGTTTCTTCGATTGGTTCTTATAAACTATTTATTTTTCACAGATTTTACTACAGGAAATGATGGTATTAAAAACAACATACACTGTGTAATAATAATCCCAAGGCAGAAATCTATTCAGCACTTATTCCCAAGTCTAAGCAGAGTAAAACTGAAGCAGCTGTTTCCAACAATTAATCCAACTCAAGTGAGCCAAACTGATAGTTAGGCCCCTTAACCTTATCCCACCTTTAGGCAGCTGTAAACACACTTGCTTTAAGGGGAAAGGTGCTGAGATGTGCTTCTAACAAACCCCTTTTGTATTTAAAATTATACTTTTATACGATCATTGATAAAACCTGTTTTTCTTTTTTAAAAGAAAGTTTAACTCTGCCATGATTAACTGAACAGCTTGAGAAATCTGCGAGTGACAAACCTTTGATGCTCAATTCAGATTTTTTTGTGAAATCCAATTTTTTTGCGTTACCGTTCACATTTCCAAATATATGCGACTTGTATGTGATCTTCTGAGTGAACTGCATTCATACAGCTTAAGCGTCCTGCATGCGCAGTAGAGGACGCAATGACATCACAGGCTAGCGTGCTTCGTGTTTACGGCAGTAAACATGTATATAGTGCTGGAGCGCATCTAGCGATCTTTCCAAACCTTAAAACATCAATCTTTTCAAGACGGTTAAAATAAATACTGCTCTCCGCATCATCATCAGCCATGGTTGTTGTTTTTCTTGCCGCTTCTGCCTAGCAAGAAGCAGAATAGTGACCTATGTCCGGTATTAATGGCGTTGAGCTCGGATGAATGCGACCTGGCCGTTTGGACGCAGGTCGCATTTGAAAATATCAGATTTGGATCGGATTCAGGACCACATAGCAAAGTGGCCTGGGTCGCATTGGAAAAATTCGGATCTGTGTTGTTCAGACAACAATGAAAAGATCAAATCCAGGTCGCATATAAGCAAAAAAATCGTATTTGGGTCACTTCAGGCTGCTGTGTGAACGTAACTTAAATCTAAACATCCTTGCTGCTTCCAGAGGGAAGACTTGTCCAGGTGCTGCTGTACAAACGTCATTGATAAGCAATGTTCAAGTTTCAGAACTTTGTTGCTCTTGAGACCAAAAGAATTTGATGACATCGTGTCAAGAGGGAACGACATCAGCAATAAACTCAAATAATTGGTTGCTATTGGCCCTCAATTAAAAAAAAAGTTCAAAAGGCCACTTCCAAATTATTTCTTATTCTGGCTTTCTGCAGATGGACATCCTATGAAATTCTGCTCAAAATCATTCTTTCACATTTTCAGATAAATCTGGAGTATTTAAAGGTACACTATGCAACCGGTGTTGATTTTCCAGCGAGGCTCCCCCCAGAGGGCGAAAGTAAAAGTGCACTGTTGTAAATATGCTCAGCTGTTCTCCTGGTTTCTCCGTCAAGCCAGGCGCGGTTGTTTTGAGCTTAGCAGACAGGCAAACGCAACGAATCGCCA